ACACATACACCAAATTTCGAAATCACAATTTTCCAAGGGTAAATCCGCTCAGTTTATCTTTTCAAGACGGAACAGTTTTATTACATTCTCATCACATGAGAAAGTATTAGTTTTGGTCGAAAATTGACTTTCGCTAATTTCATGAAATCTCGACGTATTGGGGTCCCCTGAGTACGAAAAACATGGTCTAGAAAAAGTGTCTGTCTGTATGTCTGCCTTCGTGTCTGTCTGTAGACACAATGGTGTACCTACGATAACTCTTGAAAAACTTATTGCATCAACTTGCAACTTTGCATGCACAAAGTCAGTGTTAAAATACAGATCGAGTTTGTTAGCCAGCCATTTTCGTCAAAAACTACTCAAACTACAGTAGTTTCAAAATTTTGAAAATTCAATTTTTTAAATTTTATTATTTTTAACTTTATATTACTTTAGATTAGAAAAATACAACAACTTTTCTTTACAACATTTTTTCATAGAAAGTCAAATTTCGGAGTTATAGGCTCTTAAATAGTAAAAAAATACTCAAAAATCCTAAAATAACGCTAAAAATCAAAATTTCTCAAAGAGAAAAAAATTATTACATTAATTTCCACATATTCTTACCCCATTGTACTCAAAAAATGCTCACATTACCCAAAAACTAGTAATTTCCGGAAAAACCACCGTATATATATTTTTTATCATTTTTTAAACAAAAAATCGATATTCTGACTCAATTATCTTCAAAACTATTGCCTATAGGAGATTGCTACCCCAGACTTTTTTTCTCGCCTTACCATCAGCTACAACTTTACTGTTGACAACTTTTCACTTAAGTTAAAACTTTTGGACTTATTTGCAAAAAACTAATTTTTTATTACATTCTCATCACATGAGAAAGTATTAGTTTTGGTTTAAAATTGACTTTCGCTAATTTTATGAAATCTCGACGCTTTGGGGTCCCGTGATTCTGAAAAGTTTGGTCTAGAAAAAGTGTCTGTCTGTATGTCTGTCTTCGTATCTGTCTGTAGACACAATGGTGTCCCTACGATAACTCTTGAAAAACTTTTTGCATCAACTTGCAACTTTGCATGCACAAAGTTAGTGTTAAAATACAGATCAAGTTCGTTAGCCAGCCATTTTCGTCGAGAAAACTACTCAAACTACAGTAGTATTAAAATTTTGAAAATTCAATTTTTTTAAATTTTATTATTTTTAACTTTATATTACTTTAGATTAGAAAAATACAATCAACTTTTCTCTTCAACATTTTTTCATAGAAAATTAATTAATTTTTTTTTAAGTTTTTGGGTCAGGCTAGCTCAACTGGGTTAAATCATGCAAAAAATTCATCTAATTGTTCATTTTTAAATCTTCAGTAAATTTAAAGTTTTTCTTAAAACAATTAAACTATCAAATTCACTGTATCCGGATTTACATGTTTTTAATTATACATTTGATATATATTTACAAATCACGTATATAGAGGGAACGGGACCTAATGGCTAAGGGACGTAATGAATAATTGTAATCTATTTAAAAATCGTAAATCAAAATGATTTCGCTCCAAAGACAACTTGATGTACTGCAAGTTTCTACAAAGTTTGATTATGTATTATTTAATCACTATTGTAAGAAATATAGTAGAAAAACTGTATTTCACATATTAAAGTAACTTTTCAAAATTTTCAATTTTTCGTTCTAATTTTTTAAAAATAACTTTAAAAAAGAAACTAAAATCGCGTTTTAAGCTTGAAACATTTTTTGAGGGTCAATTTGAGATTTTTGATTCACACTTACTGTACTGATAAAAATTACAATATATTTCCCAAGTTCCCCTAGGGCGTGTTAGCTAATGCAACAGGCTATGTATAAAGAGCAACTTACGATACCGAAGAAGTGTACGTTCATTGTAGAAAAAAAAGTAAGCCTAATATAGGGACGTTCGTCTTTTAAAAAAAAGCTGAGATACTGGAGTAACTTTTCTAGGAGATAAACACTTGTTTTAACACTTGTTTCTTGTTTTAATTAAAACAAGAATGTCCGAGTAAATGAACAAAGAGTGAAAAGTTAGCCATTACGCTTTGGTCTACACTACACAAAAACCTTGATACTAAATACTTCAAGAATATTTTATCTGCTTCTGCAAATCATGTTTCAGCTAAGAGAGTTAGTATAATTAAAAATAACTTCACAATTTAAATTATCAAGACCAAAAATATATATTTAAATCCACTTTATCTCGCAATCATTAACAAACAAAAACACGTGATGAGAATGTAATCCTTAAAGGCGTGGTAACTTTAAGAAAAAAAAATGTTTTATGAAATATATAATAGGAAACAAGAACAAGAACACAAATAATGCACAACAATTGCTGACCGCCGCGAGCAAAGCGAGCTATTTGCGCGCAACAACACACGGAGCGCGAAGCGCGACGTGTGAAATAATCGCCGGAGCGCGAAGCGAGCCCCCGCGCGAAGCGCGGATGAGAATGTGTTCGCCCTTGCGCGGACAGATTTTTTTTTAAATATCAACATTCGTCTTATTCCCGTCTTAAGTATGATTTGTTATTATTGTATGATTATTTTTTTAAATATGTAGTGGTGGTGGTGAGGAGTTGTTTCTCAACTTCTAAAACAAATTAAACATGCTTTACCACAATATTTTCTCTTGAAAATAATGGTGGCTACCATCGAAACATCGAGACAATTATATTAATAATAAATATGTTGACAAACTGAAAATTGTCTTCAAAATTTTTTAATGAAAAATTTAGATTCTTTGTCATAAACCTCAAAACAAGAATTATATTAGGATCCCCAAATTGACTTTTAACAAATGATTTATTATTAACAAACTATGAGTTTTATGAACATTCTATAAACAACAAAATGGTTTAATAAATAATGAATATAGGTTTCATGAATTACAACTATGGATTTAAATAATGTTATATTTTATTAAGAGAAAGTGAAATGTAGTTACAATTTTGGTTTTAACAAGTCATCAATTTTATTATTGTTTAAATATAATACGTGAAATTATTTTATTCTAAATTTTAAATTTAAAACTAAGTGAGCGGCTTTACCCAGAGTGTATTCCTTACATTTCAGAATAAATTTAAGTAAATCTATTTGAAATAAGACAAAACTATATATGTACTTCAAAAAAGGTCATCCAATAGCATAAAAAAAAATTTGCCAAATAAATTAAGACTCAAAAATAATGATCAAAAAGATTAAAAATCCAAAAAACGTTTTTTTTCTGACACCTCTAAAAACATTTGATTGTCTCTGATTCTATGTTGAATTCATGAAACAAAACTAAAGTTCGTTAATATAAGTTGAATGTTAAGTACTATTCACAGTACCAATATCTCCATCTTAAGTTGAGTTCATAGCGTCAAATCGCTTGTGATAGGGTTTACCCTGTGAGCGGGTTTACCCCAGTCTCCCCTACTATTTTAGAATAAAGTAATTTGACCTAGTGCCTGAACGGTAAATTTGTTATTGTCGCTGTTGTCCAATAATATGGATTTTATATAAAATTATGATTTGTATAAAACCATGGCCAATACTAATTTTAATACTATAATAAATATTTTATTATTAGAAACTTAAGCAATCTCTTACGAAAAAAAATTGTAGCTCAAACAGTGCTTTTATAAACATGCACGAATAAATAAGTTTTTGTAAGAAAATAAAAATTTTATATTCAAGATATTCATATTCAGTGCATACCTTAAATTTTTATGTTTCTATAAAATATAATTGTAAATGAAGATTAAAAACAGTTCTTATTTTTGTTTATTTTATATACCAAACTTGCAGCCATTAGAACAAGTCATTTGTATAACAAGTGTGATCACCATGCAATAGTTAGACTTGACAGATAAAACATATGGGCATATCTCTGGAACCTTTAACTTTCATGTCCCTCGCATATATTTCGATAATTTCAATAACTTTTTACTTTATTTTTGTTGGAAATATTAAAGCTTGATAAGATGAATCAGTTCCAAAAGGTTTTACATTAATTTATTAAATATATCAATAATTATTCCAATCTGAGTGCCCGATTTTTTACAATATCTACTTGTCCCTAACCATACTCTCGGATGGGTTAAACGATAAAACTTTGTAATGAATAAGAGTTACTAATTCTAAGACGCATCTTTTTAAAGTTAATTAAACAGTGAACACTTTTCCGTATGAAAATTAAAAATTTGTTAATTTTGAAAAAAGTTATAAGCTTTCAAACGTTGTCCCTCACTTTTAACCTTTTTGATCGTAATCGAGATATTTATCATTTTTCATTAATAAGACAAATGGCACATCAAAATGACTTACGGGAAATAAAAGTTTAAATTATTAGAATTATTTTGAGACATAGTAAATTGATGTGCCTCGTGTCTTCAAAAAACTGTTGTAATATAAATAACAGAAAACACGCGCGTACAAAATTTGAAAACGACCGTAATTCGAGTGATACTCCACGAAAATCAAATAAAAGTATTTTAAAAGTACTTGTAAATATTTTCGCATGTGCCATTTAACATCCCGTGAATGTGCTTCAAGAAAAAATACTTTATTGCAAAGATAATGTAAAAATATTTGTCAATTACGGTCGACCGTAATCAACCAAAAGTTTTTAGAAAAGAAATTGTTAAGTATGAAGTTGTAGATTCTCACTTTTTTATAGAAACTGTTAATAAATAAAACTGAAGGTTAAGTTTCAATGTTTATATTTTGATTTTTTAGACAGAATAAATGATCGAAAAAAATAGGATATATAAGAAAAAAGAAAAATAGAAAAAAATGAATAGAAATTGGAAAGTTTATGAGTGTTAAATTTAAATAAAATGTATCTGGAAATTGCAAGGTAAACTTTATACATTATAATTTCATATTTTTACAATTCAGTTTAATTAAAATCTATTTTTAAAATAAAAACCATTTTAATTTTTTAGTAATTCAAACAAAAAATAAAAGAAAAGTAATGTTAATGACTAGTAATAATATAATAAATACAAAAGTAATATATTATATAATAATATAATTATTATATTATAAATTATAACCCCTCAGTTAATTACTTTCAACTGTTTTCGATTCTAAAAAACAAACACCTGTTAAATATTTTTTTGTTGCACGTTAAAAATAATTCGCAATTTTAAATAGTTTATAACTTTTTGAAGACGAATCATTTTATCTGTCCACTTGGATATTTTGAAAGCTTATTTCTTAAAGTTTATGTAGACAGAGTTTCAATACTGTGCTCAATAAAAAATTAACAAATTTTTTCTCATTGAAAAGTTAAAGGTTCTAGAGATATGCCCATATAATTATAAACAATTAATTCTAGTTAACTTGGGAGTCTAGTATTTTAACCTTACAATAACTTCAAGGTTATCAGGCGTCGTTTCCAAAAGCTGACAACAATAGGTTAATAAATAATTGCCACAGTTCGTCCTGTCTGTGGTAAAAGAATTTTGAGGAATTTCAAGTCTCTTAGAAAGCTGAGTAAAATTCTCACCAAAATTTACTTGAGCGATAGGTATGAAATGATTAACATTATTAAAAGCATTGTTTTAACATTTTTATTTGTTGTCTTTAGGAAAGTCAAGTACAAAAGATTAGAATTATCTTGTTAGAAGTTTAATAAAGTAACTGCTATCTTTGATGTCAGTGGACACGTACAGATCTTTCAATTGCACTAGGACATTAGCTAATAACATCAAACATTGTGCTTGATGAAGCCTAATATTTTCTAATTACAGGATTTTTTCCTCCAACTTTCAGCAATTTTAGAACTTTGTCCTCTTCTTGAATCACAACATTGTAATCTTCCAAACTTTTTTGTTGCGTCCTATTGATTGACATTTTCCGTTCCTTGTGTTTTACAAGTTTCGAGTGAACAATCAAGTCGTAATGAGCACGGATGTGACAATTGCATATTTTACAAAATGGTTCCGGCTTCCCATTTGCTACGTCCAGCTCAGGTGAAATAGTAATCCAATCTGTAAATTCAAATTAACATGTTGTTTTCAATGTTTTTATTCATATTTGATTACAGTAAAAAATTAAACTATGTTTCGAATCTTTAGGTTAAGGTCTGGCATCTAACCTTTCAGCTTCGGTTCGGATTCCCACTTAGCATTGTAATGCTTTAGATATTTTCCCCACTTTCTTATTACCCTTTAAATTGTTTAACTTTCCCGATAACATATACATTCTAAGTGTTTTTTTGCAAATGCTTGGATTATGTTCCAGATTACTCCAGTGGTGATCAAATTAATTTTTAAATATGGTTTTTGTTATTAATTAAATGATATGTTGTAATTAGTGACTTCTAATTATCTCATTATGCTCTAAATTTTCATTAATTCAAAAATTGTGAATTGTTACAATGTATAAAATACCCCTTATGTTTTCGAAACATATTGGGTGTTTACGAGTTACACGCTGTGAGCGTTATAAGCATAGAATATGTTCTTATAACCACATTCAATAGAAAAAAATGCACGTATGCTCACAGCTTGCACCTCTGAAACACCCTACTAAATTATTACCACATAAAACAGACTATACTTTGTCTTTGAAGGTAGATTATAGTCACAATTAAAAATTTTGAAACATTGAAAATTAGGTGCTTATCGAAGTAACCAATTACAACAATACTTAAATATAAACAGGAATCACATTTAAAAATTCAATTGAGTACCACTGAAGTAATCTGAAGTTTAATCTGAGCATTTTCCTAAAAGATCCTCTATTAAAAACAGCTTAAAAGTTAGTTCTAGTTCTAATAGTAGATAGTTTGTAGACACCATGAACTTTTGTATAGCCGAACAACAGGTAATAAATACAGATAATAAATGACGACGCGACAGTGTTTTTTATTTTTATTTTTTATTAGGTTTTAAGAAGATATTCGACTCATCCATATAAACTCAAATACGAAGTGCCATTTTATGCAAATTATAGTATACATAAAATTGATATATTTAACTAACAGAATGTGCGTTGGCTTATAAATAGTCGGGGTAATCGGGAGGAAACTTCTCTCGCTATACGAGACTGAATTCTCGTTGGCTGTTGTCGGCACTCACCCATGGATAACCCTGAGTTAACGTTGATCCAATCATCATAATATCATTTTTGGCTTATAAACAATTAAACACAGTGGCAACAATTTGGAATAAAAGCCATTTAATTAAATATAATATTTTTTTTCAAATTTTTGTAGAAATATTTTGATCTAGCACTAAAGAGGTGGGAGAAACTTTTATTTAAAAAAATCCTGAGCACTTGTTTATTAGTAGGGCGTTGTGGGCAGTGGCGAGACAGCGGGTATAGCGAGACACTGCGATATTTCAAACAGCTGAGTTGACAGTGTTGCTTTTTTTGGTGTAAAAGTAAAGTTTTATTCTGTTGAAGCTTTTTTATATGATACACACTTTCTGGATGTAAAATCTGTCACTATAATGCTGTCAATAGTTTTAAGCAAGTTTTAAAGTTTTATTCTTCGTATGAAAAAGTGTTTATAAAATTAAACTTTTCAAAATTTGGTTAACGGCAAATATTTTAAGTTATTAGTATGTAAGATTCCTTCAAAATTCTTAGAACATTATGCATAATAGTCCGATAGACACAATTGTAGATCTTTATTACCGTAAATCACTGTTTCGGCAATGGCGAGACACTTATTGTCGGAGTGTCCGGACACTGCTTGTTTAAATCTAATAAAATGGTACATTTCTAAATGACTTCGGTATTATTTTTTTTAAGTTTTGTCGGCAATATTTTGCATAACAATAACCTAATCTTAAAGTTGCGTATGTATTTTCAAATAATCCGTAATAATAAAAATAATAATCTTAACTCTTTTTTTAGATGTAAAAAACGTAATCAATTTAAAATGGACACAAAGGAACCCAAACGCTTTGAAGTTGAAAGCCGTAAAAGACATTGTAATTGAAAAATTTGCGATTTAAAGTAATGTCTCGCCACTACCGACGTTTTTGAATGTCGGTAGTCGCGGGACATTTTTGAAATTCGGTAATAACTTTTTTTTAAGACATATGCTATCTATATTATGTAAATTTGTAAAAGATAGTCTCACTAGTCTGTCTGCACAAAATATGAGTCCTACACAAAAAAAACAAAGCGTGTCTCGCCACTACCGACTCTCCCCTATTTTTACTTGGTTCTTGAATAATTATTCTCTTTTTATTCTTTTTTGCAAAACATTAATAATTATATATTTCAATATAAAAACTATCCACTATTCTTTCCGTGCAAGTATAAAAAATGACCGAGACTCACTAGGTCTGGCACGAAGAAAGGAGAATAAAATGCATTAAATGTGACCACGATAAATTAGATGAAATTACGTTTTAAATTATGTTCTAGACTTAGGTAATAAAATCTCTATTTAAAAGATTCACAATAAAAGTTTTCAGGGAAACCTAAGCATAAGCTCAGAAACTTCTTTATACAATTTTGAGTCTGAAACATATACCGGGTTCACTTAAGCACAATACCAAAAATTTCGGACAATTACTTTTTTAACAGACAGTTCTTATCAGGCGTAACCCTTCAACGCCGGGAAGGACACACATTTACATAACTTTTAAAGTCATCGTTCTCTACGATTTCGTAGAAAATTTAATTTCAAAAAGTTTTGAATATTTTTTTGTCAAACAGACAAAAATTTAGAAACATTTACTTTTATTGGAGGAGATTTTTAAAATAATGAATTATGTTAAATATGTGTCCCTCCCGAAGCGTTAAAAAGTAATAGTTAAAAAAATATAAAACAATTTTAACACATCAAAAATTATTTTTAAATAAGTAATAAATAAAAATGGATTATGGTACAAAATTGAGAACGCATTTTCGTTCCTTGATTCAGACAACTGAAGAAAAAAATGTAATTCTAATTATTCTATAAATAATATATATTTCAAAATTAAGAACACTAAAAAAATAAACTTTTATGTACATATTAAACTATGATGTCAGGAAAGTGAAAAATGATTTTTGAATTACAGTTTTCTAAGGAAAAGAAACAAATATTTTAAAGTAAATGGTGCAATGCAAAGAAATACAATGTACAATTAAAAATGAAACATAGTTGTGAATTCCATACACATATATGTGTACTTCAAATAAACTATTAGTATACTTATTTAATTTTTAATTTTAAACCAAAGTCCATTATATTTCGACTAAAGTCGTTACCGACAAGTTATAAAAAATTATAATACTTTGCAGGAATGATTTTAAAGAAATTAGAAACTTGAAATGAAAATAAGTTTCAAATTTTTTTTTATTATTTATTGAAAAATAAACACTTAAATTAGATGAGTTATTGCATGGAGAATGTAACGTTTTCATCTAATAGAAAATTTTGAAGAAAACCTATAATTTCTTTCAAAAAGAAAAAGAAATACTGGAATTTATTAAGAATGACTAAACTTAATAGAATAAATTAATAGAAATTATTAAAGATCAGAAATATTAAATAAAATATACGGGAGAGTGGTCCTAAGTTGGCCGCCTAAGCCAATTATTCGAAAATAGTAACAAAATGAAATTTAATCACTTCGGCAAGTATATATTAGTGTTCAGAGATCGTTTTGCTATAATTTTGTGGTATTCAGAATGATATAAAATGGATTTTGTAGTCTTAATACAATAAATAGTAAAAAGTTGCATTTTGGACATTTCAGAAATAGCGGTCCTGAGTTGGCCACCACTTTTTTCGCTTGAGTATAAGGAAGAAATGCATATTCTTTTCAATTAAGCAGAAATTTTACAAATTTGATACATTTAGGAGAATAAAAAAGCATTATTTAACTATTCTTGTTTAGAAAATGAAGCATTGTCTTATTTTATTTATTTGCAGTGGTGGATGGCTGCGGAGACTGGCGTTTTTGTAGTATGTCTTTTCTATTGTTTTTTGTCTTTGTTTAATTCCTACGTTACACTTTCACGGTCTTTCTCGTGATGAAAAACACAAAAAAGAAGCAAAACATAAATAAAAACAAAAAAAACAATAGATGTCCAACTTAGGACCACTGTAGATTTTTACAAGTTTCAAATTATTACGCTAATAAAAAAAATTTAATTAAAAAATCAACAGAACCTCTTATTACAACATTAAATAAAGGAACTAGCGCATACACTCATTTATAAATTTTTAATTATTTATCTCTTGTAGCTGCTCTCGAAAAAACAAGAAAAATTAAAATTTTTTTGTCGTAAACAATATTATTGTCCTCACAATGCGTAGAAGAATCTTAGATTATAATTAGGTCCATGAATTATATCATGGTTAATCAATATATCACACCACGAAATTATAGATTCGTCCAGTATACCATCTCTGAGAAACGCAGGGTGGCCAACTTAGGCCCACGGCCAACTTAGGACCACTTACCCCTAATTTTAAAGATCGCCTGTCAAATAACCTATGTAATTATGTAAATTTTATCCATTAAGCGATCTACCCAATTATACGATTTTTTGCATAAACTTAATTTCTTTACTGCTTTCGGGTACGGAGCTGATATTCGCACTATTTATTTCACGTTTCCGCGGTCAGGTTACTTAAAAATTCAGGTGGTCAACTCAAGGTGATATTATTATACGTAATAAAAAATCAATTTTATTAAATTGGGTAAATCCCTTAATTGTTAGAAAGGGAAATCATCAAATTGAGTAAAACCTCGCCAAATATAAAGCGCATGTGATTAATCAAGATTTAGCTCTGTCCTTAAAAAATAACATGTATTAACTTGATGAAAATGGTGAAACTTTTAACTTTATTATCTTAAAAAGTAGATTCTGGATCAATGCGAAGTTTTTTTAGTGTTTGTATTAAGTGAAGATTTAGATATTCTTAAAGTTTTGTATTTTTTATTTTTCTGGAAGAAAGTTATTTACATTTAAAAATTCTGAAAATTACCAAAGTGCCAATTTTAATTGTTTGTTCTTTTACATTTATATGATTTTACATTTAAATTTTTATTAACTATTCTATATAGAATTCTCTATGATACTTATCTATAAAATCCTACACCCGTCAGAAATCCGAAAAGGTATTTTCAGTAGGGATCTTAACTTATTATTTTTAATAAATTCAAGGAAAATTGAAATTAAATAAAATTGCACCATTTACACGGAGAAAACTGTAAAAAGGTAAATATCTAGATGTTAAAGTTTAATATTTTTATTCTTTAACATAGGGATAGCTACCCAGATATTGCAAGTAAATATCTGGATGTTAAGCGTTAATATCTTGCATCTGATTTGAATATCTAGATTTAAGTTTAATAATTAGATGTGAAGTGTTAATAAATTATTTAAATATCTACTTGTGAATATCCAGTTTTCTCAGTGTATTTAAGTAAATCGATTATTTGTGTAAGATATTGTATTTTTAATATTTCAAAAATAAAACAACTTTCTACATCTTAAATAAAAATTAACTAATGTAAATATTTAGAGTTTCAATAAGAAGTGATTTGAGTTAAAAATAAAAAAATTCAAGAATCTTTTCTTGAAAAGAGATATTTTAAGAAGGACAAACTCACATTTTCCAATGCAATGTAATCTACCTTCAAAACTTACAAATACTTAAGAGATGAAGCTATAGACGCTCTTTTAATATAATTAAAGTCGAAATTTTTATTTAATTTTAATTAATTTAACTTTAGAAACTAAATGAAAAATTAAAGTAATTTTATATAAATTATATTTAATAATATAATTTTAAATAAAAGGAATAGGTTGAATAAAAATGCGGAAGCAACAAAGTCAATGATGCGCTAGTGAACAAGAAATAAACCAATTTGTAAAGTGGCAATTGTATTGACTTCTGCATTTAATTTTTCCAAATCGATTGTATTTTGAATGCTTAAAATTTTTTTTCATAATTTCAATTTTCTGTCTACCTTGGTTTTTCTTTAAATCTTTTTGTTTAACACTTTTAAACTGCCTAATTTCTAACATAAGTTTCTCACTGTTACGTCCCAAAAATAAATTTATGGTTCGTAACGATACCTTATTGTAAATTTAATTAAATATTAAATTTTAATTAAATTTAATTATAGTTTATTATTTCAAGCCTAGACTTGCGTCCAATAGCTTGGGATTACTTTCGTTGTTTTTCTTCCATTCTTTGATTTGATTATAAGGAAACTAAGGATAAAAAAATTTAAATAAAATGGAATGAGATCTTTCTCGTACTAAGATTTTCTGCAGTTCAATAATTAATCTCGGAATCAAGGGTAAATAATCTTTTTAGGAGTCACTTGTATTTTAAATATATATAAAAAAATAAAGAAAGTAGGAATGAACTTATACTAAGATCAATCCAAGGATTAACGTAGTACGATTCATTCCAGGAACAGGAATATTTATGACAAGAGTTAGAGAGAAAGAAATTAGACAGCAATTTAAAATATTTACTCACTTATAAAATATTTTTTTATTATAGTTGAGAGAGATTGTAGAAATCGAAGCTGGAACGAAGATGAAGTCGAGGTCGGTTTGCAGAATATCGAAGGATTGGTTTAAGAAAAAGAAAATGGAGAGAACATGCATTAAGAAATGGGCCTGATAGGCGAATTTTGGGTCCGTCCCATTTTTATCAGTTTTAAGCGTAGGAGGATCTTTGAAAAGGGGCTGAGTCTTATCTTTCCTCAACTTTATCTCCCTTCCAACTCCAATTTCTAGAATTTACAGAAATAGCACTTTTCCTTAATTTTAATATATTTCTAAATTTTAAATATTCAACATAATGTACGGTTGTTTATAATAATTAATTAAACAATTGCAATTATTAATATTAATAATTATGAAATTATATCAATTATTTAGTTAATACAAACAATTCGATGAAATTTGCGTTATTTAATAATTATCAAATCAATTTGTTAATTAATACAATATTTAAATATTAATTGTTAATAATTTGTTTAAATATTCATAATTATTATAGTTAACAACAATAAAATCAATTATTTCAACAATTATCTATTTATTATAACTAATTCGATAACATTCTGATTATTATCTGATTACTTAATAGCTATTATAATAATTTGTTAATTAACATTTTATTTGACAATAAACTATGGATAAATTGTTTAAACATTCCATTAATTAATAAAACAAGTAATCAAAATTGTTATTTAATAATTTCGGTGTTTAATATTTTAATTGTTCAATAATTAATCCTGATTGTTGTTAATTGTTTATTGTTATTTATTTGTTTATAATAATCAAAACATCAAAATTAATTAATTTGTTTATGTTAAATTTATATAATTAGAAATATTTTTAATTTGTTAAAAATAATTATTTTGTTAATAATTTTTATTGTTAATTAGTAATAATTAATTAATTGGACATTTTGAATTTTATTAACATTATTTAAATTTAAACAGAATATATTTTTAAAATAATGTAATATTATTCACATGAAAACATATGTCGATAAAATAAGGTTCATCTTAATGGAATTTTATCTTTGTTTTGGCGGTATAGACTAAAAGGACATAGTCTCAAGAAATCTCTATTTGTGTATGGAGACGAAGATAGTATACTCTAAGATTAAAACTCAAAATTTTAGAGTGTTGATTTTTCGGCTTATAACTATCTTCTTTTAGTTTAGATATTTTCTTGAAAATATGTTTTGTATAAAATATAGAAATTTCGAATATTCTAAATATGACTTCATCGTTACAGGACGTTACATCACATTCTTTTGCTTTAAGTTCTAATTCCCTATATTAATTTGATTCCAAAAACTTTTATGTGCTTTACCTAGAACCTGTTTTCTTTTTGTTAAACCTGTAATAGTTATTTCCAGGAAAATCTGTAATTGATTGAAGTGAAATAATGATTATTTTAATGATCTGCGAAAAACAATTGACATTTAAGCAACTCTTTATAAACGCTAATACAGTAACCATTACTTCAAGAATTAAATAAAATGTTATCTTTATATACTGTAAAAGGCAGACATCTTAAAGGTTAAAATGCTTTGTTATAAATTTCTTACGTTTTTTTGACTGAGT